AGGCACAGACGCCAAGATAACACAGATGTTAAAATGACTTGGTAGAGACAGTGGCACAGCTATTGTGCAAATGGCCCAACAAGCAATAGTAAACACTCTTGAAAAAAAAATGACGAATCAGAAGGCTAGCAAATAAGAATGTGTAGGAAGAATCAAATAGGAGTTTTGGAACTGAAAAAAAAATTAACACCAAAATGTAAAATTCGTTGGATGAAGCAGAGAATGATAACAGAGAGAAAAGAAAAGAAAAAAAAAAGAGTGGGAGGAAAAGATGAACAGAGTTTTGGTGATCTGCGTGACCACAATGAAGAATTCAGGCCACTAGAATTCTAGGAATAGACAACTGACAAATATAACAGGTTTTTACTTTACAAGATTTATTTATTTATTTGAGAGTTAGAGTTACAGACAGTGAGATGAAGAGACAGAGAGGAAGGTCTTCCATCCTCTGGTTAACTCCTCAAATGGCCACAATAGCCAGAGCTGTACTGATCTGAAGCCAGGAGCCAGGAGCTTCTTCCAGGTCTCCCACACGGGTGCAGGGGCCAAGGCACCTGGGTCATCTTCTGCTTTCCCAGGACACAGCAGAGAGCTGGACCGGAAGTGGAGCAGCCAGGACTCAAACTGGCACCCATATGGGATGCCAGCGCCTCAGGCAGAGACTTAACCCATTGCACCACAGTGCCGGCCCCAAGAGGTTTATAAAATGGATTCAATGGGGGCTGGAGCTGTGGCATAGCAGGTAAAGTTGCCACCTGCAGTGCCAGCATCCCATATGGGCACCAGTTTGAGACTCGGGTCTCACAGAGAACCCTGCCCTGGAGCAGGAGTATCACAGGGCATCATGGTCACTGAAAGGCCAGAGTGGCTGAAGCAGAAACTGCAGTGAAACTGTACAAAATGAGACTGGGAATTTAGAGCCAAATACAAAAGGAACTGCCTCTTTTTTAAGAATATTGGCAAGGCAGAAAGAGAGGGAAAGAGGGGAGAGAGAGAGATCTGAATTCTGAAAAAAAAAAATATTTTGGCTGCAGAGTGGCAGCCAGCTTGGTGAGGAGCAAGGGCAGGTGCAGGGGAGGCTGAGGCAGCTATGCCAATGTCCATGGTAGGAGAGGGGGATGATCTCTTGAGTCAGTGTGCTGGGACGAGAGACAAGGCAACAGGACGGTAAGTTATTTAGAAGATAAAGTCAGCCGTGTGCTGATGTGTTGACCACGGGAGACAATGGAGAGGAGGACCTTGAATCAGATCCCCACACAGATTCCTCCTCTTGTAATTCAGTGGGTGATGCGGCCATTCACTGACTCAGAGAGCAGGGGAAGGGTATGTGATGGAGAAGAGGGTGGAGGTCTGCTCTCAGGAGATTTTGATCTCAGTTCTGGACAGATTGGTTTGCAGGGACTTGCAGGCTTCTAAGAGGAGATATGTATTGCAAGTCTGAAACTCAGAGGAGAGATGTATGCTGTCTGCCTATTGATGATAACCAAAAGTCATGTTGTGTAAGAGAATGTCCAGGAAGAAAAATCTGAGTGAGTTGAGAAATGAGAGCCTGTGATTGAATTCTGAGAACGCCAACGTCCGCTTGCTGCGTAGAAAGAAGGAGTTCAGAGAATAAACAGAGAAGACGTGTCCAGAGAAGTAGAGGAAACGCCAGGAAAATGCTGTCGTGTGGAAGCCAAGGGAAGAGTGCTTCGAGAACCAGGAGTGACCATTATACCAAAGATGTTGCTGAGAGTTTGAGAAGCAGAGCAGGTGGGCGTTCGATGGGCGGGTCAAGGCACTCCTTCAAGCTCCTGTGTGCCGTATCCGAGTGCCTGCTGCAAGTCTGACGATTCCACGTCCCACCCAGCTCCCTGCTAACACACACCCACACCCTGGGATGTGGCACATGATGGGTCATGTACTTGAGCCCCTGCTACCCCCCGCAAGGGAGACCCAGAGGGAGTCCCTGGATCCTGGACTTGGCCTGACCCAGCCCCAGCCCTGGCTGTTGTAGATATTTAGGAAAGTGAACCAGCAGATGGAAAAATCTACATTTTTAACATTTAATAGAAGAAAGAGGGCACTAAGAAATATCTCTCTTCAGCAGAGTTAACTGGATGTGAAATTATGGGAACCAAAACCACACTGGAGTAGTTGAGGAATGAATGGGGGATGAATAAATGAGAACATTTTGAGAAGTTCAACGAACGAAGCAGGGAGACACCGCAATTGCTAGAAGGAATTTGTGGCTAGGATTTGACTTGTACTTAATGGAAGAGCTTGAACACAATTTTAAAAGCCAATGGGAAAATCTAGTTAACAGGATGAAGCTATGGATAAGAGAGAGTACATATAATTAATGTGTTCCAATGCTCCCAGGGAAGCAGAACTGAATAGAATCTATTATTCAATATGAGCTGTGGCTTTAGCTCCTGCGAGAGACGTCTCCCATACTGCAAGGAAATTGAGACACACACACACACACACACACACACACAGAGAGAGAGAGAATGCAGATGCAAGTCACTGGCAGATCTGGGAAGACAAGCAAATTATACAGAAGCTATAATTTCAATGTGGTTTATTTCTGTGTAATGGATCTGGAATAAAACGACTTGAGCCAGGACTTCGGCTTCTACATGGCAGAGCAGATGTGCCTTCCCGCCCCCCAATGACAACTTGGAGCCCTGGATATCACATAGGGAAAACAGAAGACTCTGGAAGGTGGAGAGATGGAAGGAGACTGGCTGGACCTTAGGCTGTGAGGAACACATGTCAGATGAACCCCCCAGGTTTTCTATTTCTCTTTAATATCCTGGACTCGGAGCTGAAGAAGCACACAACTGGGCAACACCAAGGGGCACAGAGCAGCCCCTCCAGCAGAGTACTATTCTCTGTATCCAAAGTACTAGGAAACATGCAGTCTTGCAAGACAGAAAACTGGGTAATAACTGTTTCACTATGGCAAAAATGACAGAGAAAGGACCATGGCCCACCCTCACCTGCACCAACAAAAACCAAGAGGCAAGCTTAGACGTCCACCTTTGTGGCACTCAAGTGAGGCTTGTCTCCAACTAGGGCGCTCACAGAGAAGGGAAGGATGAAAATCAGCCCTCTCCATCCATAACTGCCAGGGCAGCGTCAGAGGCATCGTGGTGGGAAACCAGACTTTTATGACTACCCATCAGGGGTAATGAGCAACCCCCCTCCCCCTGCCCCACATCGTGGTGTCCGTTAGGACCCAGGGAGGAGCTGGAACTTCCATGTCCAAGCACAAGTAACAAAGAATTCACCAATTTTGGATCTCAATGGAGGCTGAGCAGGGAATGTGGACCTCTACCCCTTATGTAGCAGTAACCAGGCAGCACCTACACCTTTTCCGACCAGAGCAGAGAGGTCAACCACACAGAGGATTTCATAATCCAGGGCACGTTTATCGCACAGTGGGTTAAGGCACACTAGGGACACAGCCACCCCATATAAGAGGGCAGGCTTGCGTTCTGCCACCTGCACCTCCAGTCCAGCTTCCTAATGCAGCCTGGTTCAGGATGCAGTGCCCACATCCCGTATGGGCACCAGTTCGAGTCTCAGCTGCTCCACTTCTGACCCAGCTCCCTGCTGATGACCTAGGAAAGCAGTAGAAGATATCCCAGGTGTTTGGGTCCCTACACCCACATGGGAGACCCAGAGGAAGCTCCTGGCTTCTGCCTTCTGATCAGCCCAGCTCTACCCGTTGAGGCCATTTGGGGAGTGAACCAGCAGATGGAGGACCTCTCTGTCTGAAACTCTGCCTCTCAAATAAATCTTTCAAAACAAACAAACAAACAAATAAATAAATAAATAAATAAATCTGGTTTCAAGAAACAGCTAAAGTAAGAAAACTGTGTGGTGTATGTAGATGGGTACGTGGATAGACGATGAGAAGAGAATAGGGAACTAAGAAATAAAGCAAAGATGTTCAACTTATTTTGACAAAAGTGAAGAGCAAGTCGACAGCAGAAAGGTAGACTTTTTACACTTGATCTCAGTGAAAAGGCCAAGAAGCGATAAAGGTAAGATTTTTAACAAATAGTCCTGGAGCAACAGGCTACCCAGAGGAAAACAATTAAACTCAACCTAAGTCTCACAGCTTGTTTAAAACGGAGCTCAAAATGAATCACAAACTTAAATATAAAATGACAAAATGTCCAGAAAACTATAAAGCAGTAAAGAATGAGGTAGGGGCCGGCACCATGGCTCACTGGGTTAATCCTCTGCCTGCAGCACCGGCATCCTGTATGGGTGCCGGGTTCCAGTCCCGGTTGCTCCTCTTCCAGCCCAGCTCTCTGCAGTGGCCTGGGAGTGCAGTGGAGGATGGCCTAAGTGCTTGGGCCCTGCACCCGCATGGGAGACCAGGAGGAAGCACCTGGCTCCTGGCTTCGGATCGGTGCAGCGCCGGCCGTAGTGGCCATTTGGGGAGTGAACCAACGGAAGGAGGATCTTTCTCTCTGTCTGTCTCACTCACTGTCTATAACTCCACCCGTCAAATAAATTTTAAAAAATTTAAAAAAAAGAATGAGGTAAATACTTTAAGACATGTATTTACAAACAACACAGATGACAAAGGACTAGTATCTAGAAAATGTAAAAGACTCTCACAACTGAACAGTAAAATAGCAATCCAGTTAGAAAACACACATTCCACCTAAGAAGTATGCAGTCGGCATATATGCCCATGAAAAGATGTTCCATGTCATTACCCATGAGGGAAATGCAAGTACAAACCACCCTGGGATGTCAGTATAGACCTATCAAATTGGCTCAAATAAAAATCACTTAAAATATGCAATGCTAGCAAGGATGTGGAGAAACTGGATCAACCCTACCTTGCTAATGAGACTATGAAATGGTATAGCTACACGGGCAACCAGCTTGGTAGTCTCTCAACACTAAATTAATAATAAATTAAATTAAAGTGCCAGAGGTTTTTATCCCTCAAAAATTAATTCCTACATTCATGTAAAATACTTCATGTCTACAGCAGCTTAATTGTTAATAGGCAAGAACTGGAATCAACCCTGATGGACCTTAGTGGGCAATACCAGACCATCCATCCCACGGATGTTAATACAAAGGATGGAACTATGGGTACACACAGTGACCTATAGTAACTATGGGTATGCACAGTGACATATAGAAACTATGGATACACAGTGACCTATAGGAACTATGGATACACACAGGGACCTATAGGAACTATGGGTACACACAGGGACCTACAGGAACTATGGGTACACACGGTGACCTATAGGAACTATGGATATGCACAGTGACCTACAGGAACTATGGGTATGCACAGTGACCTATAGGAACTATGGGTATGCACAGTGACCTACAGGAACTATGGGTATGCACAGTGACCTATAGGAACTACAGTTACACACACTGACCTACAGGAACTATGAATACACAGTGACCTATAGGAACTATGGGTACACACAGGGACCTACAGGAACTATGGGTACACACGGTGACCTATAGGAACTATGGATATGCACAGTGACCTACAGGAACTATGGGTATGCACAGTGACCTATAGGAACTATGGGTATGCACAGTGACCTACAGGAACTGTGGGTATGCACAGTGACCTATAGGAACTATAGTTACACACACTGACCTACAGGAACTATGAATACACAGTGACCTATAGGAACTATGGGTACACACGGTGACCTACAGGAACTATGTGTACGCACAGTGGCCTATAGGAATCTCCAGAGACCCATGCTGACTGATAAAACCCAGTCCCTGGGGCACCTACTCTGTGTGACTGCACACAAATGACATTCAGGATGTGACTCAGTCATGGAGCTGTGGGACAGACTGGAGCCTGTCAGAGGAAATGGGTGTGGCTCTACGAGGATGACGTGAAGTCTTGTGAGGTCCAAAACATTCTCTCCCTTGGTTGTGCCCATTGTAGTCTCCTGGCTTTGGAACTGTACTGTAACTCTGAAAGAGGCTGGTTCTGCAGGAGACTGGATACAGGGTCCAGGGACCCTCTCTGTACTGTGTCTCACCCCATTACATGAACTTATAGATACTGCAAAATAAACAGGAAAGTTCGACTTTAGAATTACTGAGTGAGGGAGAAGAGGCATGCTTCCGCACATTAAAAGTGTGAAAACTTTCTAGGGATAGTAAAGGAAAAGTCAGCCCACAAGTTCTGGTAGGACCCCTGCTGTCTTGGAGATTGGTGATCAGGAATTTAGAATGCGGCAATCTGCTCTGTTGTGCGAGTTTTCATCACCTGTGCTGTGCCGTCTGGGTACAGAAACAGAGAAAACAGGTGGTGGGGTTTGTTCAGGACAGGGGCATGACAACAAGGTGCAAGAACAATAAGCAACCAAGGACAATTTTTCTCAAATCCCTCTGTTCTCTCCATGCTGCTTGGGCTCAGAATCCTGTTTGCACTTCTTATATGGGTCGAGTGTGTGCTCAGGGCCACACGGGTCCCTGGACTCTGCCACACTGCACTGTCTGCCCTCAGCGACCGGAAACTAGCCTGGGCTCAGTCCTCCCACCCTGCACTGTTGCAGGTTCTGTGGTTAAGGATGAAGATGAAGGGGGTCACAGCGACCCGAGTTGCAATGTGGACTGAAGCAGGGAACAGAAATTCTCCTAGTCTCTACTATCTGATTTCATGGTGTAGTGAGAACTAAATGATAAAACACACACACACACACACACACACACACATGAACACAGAGCCAATCATTATTGAGTCAGCCCCCAGTATCTACTGACCCAAAGGGCTTGAATCTGGCCCCACCCCCACTGCCACACATCCCTCCTGGGTGGCTCTTCCCTGGTTCAAGTTTCACAACCAGCATCTGCATAGAACAATGCCCTGGTTTATAGTGCCTGTGGATCTCCATGGTGTACGTGGCCCATACAATGTACTAAAGTGACCACACATAAACACACCATAGGCTCTTGTGAGTTGTTAGCAGCAGGTTCCAGCACTGACACTGGAGCTACCCTGGGCCACAGGTTAAGCCCTGCCTTGGCCCTTTCCCAAGAATTCCTCACTAGCCCATGCCCAAGAGGCCACCTGACCATGATCTGTTAGAAAGCTGCCCCCTTTTCTCTCCCAGGGATGACTCTGGGTAAAGGAGGCAGTAGTGTCATCTCCACACACAAGAGAATGCCAACAATTCTGATGGACAGAGAAACACAACCTCAATTATAGCCAGGGGTCATCTCATTACTTGGATGGCCAACACTGCCCTCTGGGCTCTTTATACCACTTCTGTTTATCTCACAGTTGCTAGGAGCACCTGTCTGCAACTTTACTTCTCATAAGTTGTCCCAGGTCTTCCCTTTCTACTAAGACCAACATTTCCAAGAACAACAACCAGAAAAACTGCATGAAACAAAAGCATCTGGTTGCAGGTTATTTGGGAGCTACTGAAAGATCCAGGAGTTAAGGGCCACAGTCCCATGGAGAATGGTGTGAGGTGCTTCCCACTGGCAGTAGCCACTTTGGTCTGAAGCAAGGAGCTGAGAAGCCAGCCAGAGAATGGACCAGAAGCCAAGGGAAGATCATTACCCAGGCAGAGCTTTCCACATATCAGAACCAGGGGAACAAAAGCTGGAGTTTGGGCCAATGAAAACATCCAGATCTTTTCAATGGCGATGTTTATTTATTTCAGGGAGCTGGGAGAACTCCCATCCATTGGTTTATTCACCAAATGTCCACAGCAGCCAAGGATGAAGCTGGGAACCAGTATCTCCATCCAAGTCTCCCTTGTGAGTGGAAAAAAAAAAAAACAATTATTTGAGCCATTATCACTGCCTCCCTGGGTCTGCCTTGAAAGGAAGCTGAAGCCAGGAGCCAGAGCCAGCAATCAAAACTAGATACCGTGACGTGGGCATCTGAGCCACTAGGCTAACTGCCAGTTTCCAGCATCTAGACCTTGAGGGACCAAAATCCTGGAGAACAGCAGGTCACAGTAAAACACAAGCAGACCAGATGCCAGTTTTCCTACTACAACATTAGGTTAACAGACTAAGAAGTAGAGGGGAAGGAAGAATGGGAAAGAGGAGTGCAGGTTTTGGTCATTTTAGTAAGAGGCCAACTTACGGTTCTGAGAATCAGCCATCAGAAGGCGTTGGTAAACGTCACTGATTTTCACTTGGGATCCCTGGAGGTCCACAGCCTAGGGGTGGAGACGAAGCCAGACTCTTCTAAGGAAGGAAACGCAGACTCGAGCCAGGGCCACCCCGAAAGATTGAGTTATGACCCTCATGCTATTTGCCTGGTCTATGATAGAGTGAATTATCTCTGGGCAATGAGATTATCATTCTGAGCCTTCATAAGTTTTTAATACAATGTCCAACTTTCAATAAGATGTTACCAGGCATGAACATAAAATAACCTCGCTGGCATCTAGTCCAGCACACTAAGGAGCTTGTAGATCATCAGTTCATATGCATAACAAGTGAAAAAACACTGCACAAACTCAAAACAAAAACAAAAACTTTTCCTAGCCTGGTCGGAGAAAAGAGCTCACAGGGTGAATCACTCCGGACCAAAATTTTAGACAAAGCAGCAGGGGCAGAGAATCCCAACCTCCATCAGGGGCTCTGGAGAGGAGCGGGATGGGGAAAGTCTCCTCACTCTTCATGAACTTACTTCCCAGAGTTCTACTATGTGGGCCATGAACATATTAATGATTTTGAAGATTTATTTAATTACTTATTTGAAAGTCATGGTTAGAGAGGGAGAGACAGAGAGAAAGGTCTTCCACCTGCTGGTTCACTCCCCAGATGGCCAGAATGTCCAGGCCAGGGGTAAGGGCGAAGCCAGGAGCCTGTCTCTACCCCTGTCTCCTATGTGGGTGTAGTGGCCCAGGTACTGGGGCCATCCTCCGCTGCTTTCCCAGGGGCACTAGCAGGAGCTGGATAGGAAGTGGAGCAGCCGAGACTCGAACCAGAACCCAGATTATATTAAATTTGGTGCAGGCTCTTGTCTCCTTCCAAGACAGAAACACAAAATGCAGACCGGCCCCACGTGCAAATAGGAAGGAGGTTATGTAGCACCCAGGAAACACACACACACATTCAGGCCCAGGATGGGCTGCCCCGCACAGAGAAATGCTCAACAAGAGCGGGCCAAAGAACTGCCCGTGGACAAGAAAAAGAGAAAAAACGAAAATGGTACCTACGGTTTGGTTGGTCCATGCACACGTCGGAGATAGAGAGCAGGAAAGCACCAAGGTGGACGGCTCTGCACGGGGAAAAGCACGCACAAGCGGTCCCTGGCTCCCGGTGTGCAGCGCTCCGCGGAGAAAGAGAGAAAACGGCAGCCTTCATCCGCGCTGGAGGTGCAGCTCCTTCCGGCTGGTGCGCCCTCCGAGTAGCTCCACGAATGTGTTGGGGTGCGAGCACGCATCCTGGACCTGGATGTGACAGGTGCATTCTGGGAAGGCGGATGTCATCACACTGACAGTTAAAGACACAGCTTTCCACTGCAGGAGAGGAAGAGTTCCAGGCCCTAACCCTGACTAGTGACACCGTCTCACCGCCACGTTCTCTGAGACTTAACCCACTGCACCACAGTGCCGGCCCCAATAGGTTTTTAAAATGGATTCAATGAGGGCCGGTGCTGTGGCATAGCAGATAAAGCTGCCTCCTACAGTGCCGGCATCCCATATGGGCACTGGTTTGAGACCCGGTTGTTCCACTTCCGACCAGCTTTCTACTATGACCTGGGAAAGCTGTAGAAGATGGCTCAAGTCCTTGGGCCCCGGCACCCATATGGGGGACCTGGAAGAAGCTCCTGGCTCTTGGCTTCAGATTGGGGCAGCTCTGGCCATTGCAGTCCTCAGGGAGTGAACCAGGGGATGGAAGGATGGAAGACCTCTCTCTCTCTCTCTCTCTCTCTCTCTCTGATCTCTCCTTCTCTCCCTCTGTGTAACTGTGACTTTCAAGTAAAATAAATAAATCTTTTAAAACAAAATTGATTCAATGATTGAACCAAAAATTATAACATTCACCTGATGAATTTTTAATGTGGATTGTTGGGATATGTGGAATATGTAAGAAAACTATGACATAGAAGAGAAAAGAAAGGACCTACCTGATGGTAAAATTTCTCCCTGATACGGCAAAACTGTTACGAGCCTATGAAAAAGAAAGTGTGTGTTATACTTCTGAGGGCAGTCACTAACAATCTATAGAAACAGATAATGTATACATCACAACTGATAAATTAAAATGGAATGAAAAACCATGCAAGTCACCTGACAGCAAGAAAGGAGAAACTGAAATAAAGGAGTTCAATGTCAAAAAACAGATGATGAAATTGGGCTAAATCCAAAACTATCAATGAGTATGTTGAATGCAGCTGGCCTAAACACAGCAAGTGAAGGAGAGAAATTTTCAGAAAGGATTTTATTTTAAATGACCCCTCCTGATGCTGTCTATGACAAACTTACTTCAAAAACATCGAAATAGATAAAGTAGTAAAAGGGGTAAATAAATACATCCTGTGCAACATTAATCCAAAAAATTTGAACGACTGTATTAATACTAGAGAAAGTACAATTTGGAGCAGAGAAAATTAGA